AAACGATCATGCAAATTCTGCATTAAGTAGTTTAAATTGTTTTCTTCCGGAAGACATTATTGGTTTAAATAAATGCACACATATATTGGCACTCTACCCAAGGATGAAACATAAGAAGAAAAACGGCTAAAGATTAAGTGATAGTTATACACACTTTTAGAGGTAATTATCATAAATCTGTCAAGTGGCATCTGCTGCTTCATAGGTCTGACATTCAAAAACACCATTCCGTCTATAATATGATATTTGTCTCCAAGATGCAGAGGTTTTTACTACAATCTGCAATTTTGTTTCAAATATAATTTACTCCTAGAGACAAAAGACTGAAAACCTAGCCTTGAGAGATGGGAAGGGGAAAAATAATATCAAAAAGATGCACTTCCGTGCTGTGGGAATACGTAAAAAGACATGAGATAAAAATCAGTCACTATTTATACACGCTATGTCATTTGACCTTTATCTTATATCTTTGATTTCATGATTCCTTTAGGTACTGCATGTTAGGTTGTTTACTGACACAATAACGAAAGCTGATATTAACCTCAGAGGCAATATTCAGACATTGGCGAAATACCCCGTATCAGTCATTGACACATCGGCCTAGTTTTTCCTGAAACTCCCAGCTATTTCTGAGGAAACCAGAGATGTTTACTTTATTTTGCTGGGGCATAGGGTAGAAAGGCAGAGCAGAAGGGGGAAAAAAGTAATCTGCAACTATTCTGTAAAAGAGCACAGCAAAATCAAGTTAGAGAATACAGTTTCTGAACTTAGGAAAAAAAAGAGCATTGACTTTGAGCATCACATCAGATTTCTCACATTCAAGACAAGTCTGGGCCAAATTTATATTATTTATATTATAGCTGTGATTTCAGTCCACGTACAGAGATTTATCTATAAAATTCTGAGCAACTTGTGTGTAGATACTTGATGGTCACCAAGTACTTCAGAGGAAGTTTTCCTCCAAATCCTCTTTCTCACTGGACACTGAGGCTGCAAATAAGTCTAAAGCAGAGATTTTCAGCACAGATTTACAAGGATTTGTGGAGGTGCAGATGGCACATCCACAGCTGATGGGACAGAAGACAACTCTGGTCCTTAAGGAAACTCAGATTCAACTCCAAGCTTTTGACTCTCTTTGTTCAAGTTTTAGCTATTCAGTGTCAGCACTCTGGTCGTCTGAAGAACAGCATAAGAGTATGAATCTGGAATCTCATTTTGTATTAGCTGATCTTGTTATAGATAATATTAAATAGGAGTAATAATTGATTCCAGTGTAATATTCTAAATAGCTCTAGCTTCACATCGCCATTGTCACAGTTGCCTCTGAGTGCACTACAGCTCACTGCTTTAAGTCTGAGAGGCAAATGAAAACATCTGTATGAAGGAAAGCTCTAAAAATCCTAACTAGAAGTCTACCAAACAATTCTGTTTATAAAGATTGTATATGTCTTGCTTTTATCATAGCAAATGCTCTACACTTAAGATTAATTTCGATAGTGTGTTTGTTGACTGAAGGGTTAACTAAGACCTTTTCTTGACACCTATCCTGCAAAAAAATAGATATTTACTACATATGTCAATGCATCTACAATGGTAGACTATATCAAGGGCAGACTTTAATCCATGGCTACCTGGAGTAGATTTTCTAGTTATTAACATTTGTTTGAAAAACTGCTCATTATTTTTATCATTAAATGTGCTAAAACATATTACAATAACATCAGTTAATTGAAACATATCCATAAGTGCAATGCTAAAGTACTGTTTTGAGTTTTGAGTCCTGACACCCAAACAGATAAATATTGTTCAGCAATTCTCAAAATAACAGCTGTAGGAAAGGAGGGAAAAAGGCAGGTTAGAAAAACTACCTTTATTTTTAATTTACTTACATTTAAACAGAGGTGTATTTTCATTATTTAGACATCCAGGCAATGATGACTTCATTAGTTTAGACAGGGAAAAAAAAGCACACAAATGCAAATCTTAAGTGGCTTTACTTGAACATAGCTACGTTACTCACTACTGATTGATTTCTTTTGCTGGAAAAAAATTTCTTTATCATTAAAATGCTGAAAGAAATACTTGAGCACTTAAAAATATTGCTGAACAGCAAGTGTCTAAATATCTGTCATTGCAGCAGATTTTACATTTTAAAGTATTGCAATTCCATAACTGGGTATATTTTCTTGTTACATGCAAGGAGTTATCATCTTATAAACACTGTACAGGCCAAAAATCTCCAAGAGGAAACTAATTAGGTGCATGAGAAATACAAATCCTATAAGTATTTACAATATCATGAGGCAACAAATTTGGTCTAATATTTAAAAAAAAAATCACATTAGAACAGTCTCTGCTCTGACCTCTTCAGCTCAAAAGAGAAGTAACTCCAGGAGTTTGAGATAGTCAATACACAAACAGGTAAAGTGGAGATCAAGTTGTACAGCATGTTTTTGTAGGCCAAGTTCAGTTACTTAACAAAAACTTAAGATCATCAATAGCAACGTGACAATAATGACCAAAGTACGCAATGGGTTCATATGAGCACATAACCCTATGCACTACCCTTTTCGTTGGTAAGGAAAAATAAATTACAAAATACAATTAAAATTCCTACAAATGCAATAATGATTTCAAAGATGTGCATTTATCTTTATTATACATTTCAAGTGTTGTTGGGGCCTTAGTAATGGGATTCACCTAGAAGAGAAGAAGGTGTTCGTGGGGAACTGGACTGACGCCTAGTGACCAAGCACCTGGAGGAGCACTAACCAGCTGGGAATCTGTAGCTGGCCAATGAGAACGCTGCTCCTCAGCGCATGCCCACCTGCACCGGTATAAAGCTCTGCTGCAGACAACAGCAGGGTGGAGTTGACCTCACTTTGTGTGTAGGTGTTGTTTGCTCTGGCTTGTGGGGAGGGCCTCGGTGCTTGGCGCGGATTGAACCGGCTTCGAGTTGGGGTGTTGCTCACTCCGACTCGTGGAGTGAGCCTCAGCATTCGAGTGACCCTCGACATCGTGTTACCACAAAACAGTTTAAAAATAAACAAACATGCCAAAAGGCAAGTGTGTATAGAAAAAAAAAATAGTAGTTAGCTTTAGAAGACTTATTTAAAAAATTGAGAGAATTTAAGTTTTGGTCAAAAAGTATGTCTAGTCAATTCTGTCTTTTTACTCCATCTTTCCAAGTAACTAGCAGCTAAACATGACAAAAGCACACCTCTGTCATTATGGCTTTAAGAAGTAAACTTGCAAAAAATTTAACAGGTTCTCTTTTCTACAGAAAGCTGTTTTGTTCATACTGCAGGCACTTCTTAGATCTGCACGGAAAGTACCCGACCCATCCTTGTCATAGTGTTTTACAAAAGTAGTAATATTATAATGAAAGACAACAAAATTCCAGAAACAAAAAGAAATCACAGCAAATTTCAGGTGCTATGGGCTAACATACAGAAAAGGCAACAGAAGTCTAACCCACTTTCACTGCATTTGTTTTCTATTTCAGAAAGTCAAATAATTTAAACACAGCGCTCTAACATCATTACATGGCACATTCACAGGTTCAATTTAAAGATGTTGTCAATCAGTAGTTACAGTAGTGAATACTTAGGCTTTAATACCAATTCCACTTTAACCACATTCACGTTTATTTCTTCTGAGTGTATTTTATAGTTCCTCTGTAGATCCTCTCTTCTGAAGTTATTTCAATCTTACCCATATTACTGGAAGCACAACTTACATTATACAAGCATTTTATTTATTGTACAAACTCTCATTATTTCTACTATACTGCAACTCCATTATAGATACGACAAAGGAAGATTTTGAACTACTAGAAATGCTTCTTGTTTTCTAGCATCACCAGCACTTAGACCACTATCATCAGCTTCACTGCAGGTTCCTACTTGATATCTCATGGAACAGTCGCTGTTCCGCTGTTTCGTGGTATCACAGAAAGAACAATGCTAAGACAATTTGACTGCTGTACCATCAGTAATACTGGAAAAGCAAAATCAACGCAAAAAAAAAAGAAACCTTAAAGTAAGACTTACTTTTCTAAATGCTTGTGCATCTATTTTTTCATCATAAAAAAAAAAGACTGCATTTGATATGCTGTTACAGAACTCAATTACCGGATTTGTGACATCTTTCTTCCCTCAGTTAAGAAAGCGCTAATGCTTTGTAGGGCCGGTGAAATGCTTTTGAAATTTACCATTAATGAAGACAGCGTCCATTTCGTTGGTCCATTTATTATTACGGTCCATTTATTACGGTCAAAGAACTTATATTTGACAAAACTTCAAAGCTTCCAGAACAGATGAACTGAAAAACAGACGGAGGAAAACCAAACCAAAGCAGAGAGGCATGAGATTTTGTTTCTAATGGAGTTCTTGGAAAACACCTGCAGTCACTGTAGAGATGTTTTTTCTTTAGATCACAAGACAGCAGTTGAACAAGTAGGCAATCCTCCATGTTCTCCTCACTTCTAAAGTCATTTCTGGTGCTGAATGGTTTTTCTTTTCTTTTGCTTGAAAACACAGCAGCACCTGTAGGTATGACATGGATTACATATGATATAAAGTGACAAGCCATGCGGGGTGGGGGTGGGGGGTGGGGGAGTAAAACACTGTTTCTCTTAAAGTATGTAGATAAATTCTGCACTGTGGAATCTGTAGATACACTTCTGCAAGAAATGTATTAAGCTCTATTGTAGGTGATTGACTTTTAAGTGAGTTAAGACTAAAGTGACGTGGGTACATTTCACTTTTTGGAAACATATTGTATCAGTGGTAAGGTTTAGGGTAATGTGTGATAGCATAAAAAGCAAGGCAAGTTTTAATTCCCATGTACTCTTTCACGTAACTTAATACGCCAAATACAAATTTGAACATCTCAACTTTGCCTAAACTGCATACTTAAGACTTTACTGTTGCCAACTCAGTGGAACGACTGAAATTTCCCTTTTGGCACTTAAGAGTTTTGAGAAGCCCTTCGCCAAAACACATTTTGGAAATAATGTTTACCAACAATAAAAATGATCTAATCACGCCTTGATATTAGTAAAGTGAAAACCATGGCTTTAAGTTCAGTAAAGTATACTGATATTCTTTTTTTTTTAATCATATACATATATGGAGAACTGAAATTAACAATTGTCAATTTCACTTAATAGAGAAAATCCAACAGTAATGACACATCAAAAGAAAAAAAGTAAAAATAAAAAAAAAGGAAAGGGGAGTGCAAGGAGGTAGCACAGGGAGGAATTAGAGAGGTAATACAGAGAAGGATTACAGAAATCCAAGAAGTATTTTTGAAAGCAAATTAAAGAAAAGAAAGCAGCAAGTAAAGAACATTTCATTATGTAATGCTAGCCTGGCGTTATCTTAAGCAATTCCTACCGCCTCACCATCACCTATAGAATCAAAGCTTCCATTCAGGAAATTATTCTCAGTACTTCAATTGCAATCAAAAATGAACACGCAAGCTTCCTGTCTCAGGACGATTTACCTCCCACAGAGGGAGTTCTGTAGCTTGCTTAATGAACTGCTTATTGCACTGCCATTTACACTGTTAAGACTGTTACTTGAGAGTTTCTCCTCAAGCCATGGACCACAACAGAAATGACAAACTAGGAATTCAATGCATCACTATACCATCAGCAAGTCAACAAACTCATTAAGCATTATCTGTAGTTAAAGCTTCAAAAAAAATCTTGCTGATTTTGTTTGGAACATGGAAAAAGGGGAAAGATTTTGAAAACCAGGGAGAACCAGGGTCTAAAAACAAGGTTCTAAATGAGGTGAGAACAACATCCAAGGCAAGAGGAGACAGTTGTTACCTTCTCAAAATATCCGAGGGCACCCTGCTGCTCAGTCACTGAAAAAGTAGCAGTGGGCAGAGGCAGACCAGAGCTGCTCTGAGAGTTACATAACTTTCAGTAACAAAACAAAACAAAACAAAATGTTATAGATAGAGAGGGAACCAAGAATTAAAACTCAGTAGGGGAAACTATGAGGGTAAGAATTTTTATAGCTATCAGAAATAACACTAGATTTGCCTTAAAAGACTTAAAGAAGTTTGTAAAAATCCTAGCCACCAGCTGCAAGCAAAATCTTTTATATGTACAAGTCTTTTTTTTTTTTTTTTTTTAAATCTGTCTACAACCACTACCATTCATTTTACTTTAGCTTTGAGTTTGGAAACATATATACGGGGTCCAGTAACTTTACCCTTCATCCAGCAAAAACTTTTTCCGAATATTTTATTTATGTATATATACACGATTTACATCACATGAAAACAAAACATTTCATAACGGTTCCTTTCCTACATGAAGTAGGAAAGTTCCTACCCTGTGATCCTGTGAACAAAGAAATTCTATTTCATATTCTGAAGATAAACCACTTCTGTATATGCTTCAGCGTAAAAGACCTCAAGGAAAGCTTACAGAAGTGTTTTGTCTTGATTCCTAGTTTTATTGTATGGAGAAAGTATTACATAAGTAATGTAAGAAAAATTAAAGTGTGGTAGCCTTTTCTAGAATTTAAATTAACAATCTATCTAGAATTATTTTTTAAAGGTAGCTGTAGTATAGTTAAGGCTGTTGTGGCATATTTTGCATGAATGGAATGTGTACAAAGAACATCAGTCCGTATCCCAAGGATTGCTTCTGCTTTGACTCTCTGTGCAATTTAAGGATGCTTTGGGTTTGTTTGCTTTCTAGCAAATTCCAGCCCAATCGCTGTAATCCCTGTGCTGTCCTTTATTCTTCCTCCATGGCCTATTTAGTTTGTTTCTCTCTCAGCCAGAGAAACATGATATCACACAGTAGAGAATTCAAGGATTTTACCCTTAACCAATATTAAGCACTGACTTTTCAACCTCCTCATCTTCCGGAGTCTGCTTAATACTCTTAGGAAGCGTACTGTAATAACAACTATTGATTTTATTTGGTAAATTATTCTACTGTGTTCTAGTTCAGGAAATTTCACTATATAAGGCTCAAGATTTCTTTGGTGTGGAAAAATAAATCTGTTAACGTATTTAAATATTGTGCCAAAAAAATATAAATTCCATATGGCATTGTAAATCAGGAGACTAAGCTTGGAAGTCTTTCCTGAAATGCACGCTTAACATCTAGAAATTCTAGACCTAGTGAACCTCCCAAGGCCAAACACATTTAGATGGAATTGCAGGCCTGGGGTGAAGTTTTACAAAAAATGCAACCCTGTTGCTAGAGATCCACAGTGTAACCTCTTGAAGAATCACAACCACTGTTGTGACACCATTGCAAACTATCACAACCAGCAGAGTTATGGCATGCATTTAAGAGTACCGTCACAAGAGGGCCTCATTATCACTTATGCACACATTACATGTCTTGAAGACAAATTTAAATTAGAGAACAAGGACACTGTTATGGAGTAAAATACAAGTTTATCGCAATATTGAATGTCCACTGAAAACATACAAAAAAAGCCCCTTACCTCCTTGCATGCTTTACCCAGTTTCATTAATAGTAATTATACTATCGTCCAGAAATGTTTCTACTTTTTTCTGTGGATTTTAGGTGACTTAAGACCCAGTCTAGCAAACTCAGTATTGCTTAGTAGTATTTATTGCCCTGCTTCAAAATTTTTATTTTTTGTTAAATATTCTATCACTTGGGAAGTCTCCCAGCATGGCAAAGCAACTTCAGTTCTCATTTGTGTTTATATAGCTGCATTTTTATATTTCTCATCTAGTATGTGACAGCAGTTTACTGTAGAATTATTAGCATGTACTTCAAGAATGTGGACTGCAGAAAGGATACAAAATCATTTCTCTTTTTCTGATTGTCCTTGTATGTCAATTTATAGCTGAGTCTTTTGATTCCTCAAACTGAACATTTCTGAGAAACACTTCTGATGAAGATGTCTAGCCATGGGTTTCGGCAAGAAAGCCTAATTGCTTAGTAGTAACTGGAAAGCCACCCATAGAAGTCCAGATCAACAGTCAGATACATCTAAATGTAAAAACTAGTTCCTTACATCATAAAAGAAAGCTAGGCTCTGCAAGTGCTCAGGTAGAGCAGCAATCATGTTATTTGCCCTTCTACAACTGGTGATATATTTGAAAAATGGCTAAAAGCTACTTTTCAAGAAGAAAAAAAATGCCTTAATTTAACATTGACAAATTAACTAATTAAATACTAAACTAAATTAAATTAACACTGCTAACATCAGGCTTGTCTGACTTTACTTGAGGAAAAAGCCCTCAGAGGCAATGCAATATCTGAGGAGTATATTATAAATTACAGATTAGAATTTATGTGAATACCTATGTAAATCCAGAAATTGAACAATGGAAGTGTACTGGTCAGACCGTCCCCAGAATAAAATGCTTGCTGCAGGACAGCCTGATTTACAGGGTCACACTGAAAGTGTAATGGTACAGCCAATATTCAAACAATACTTATGTTCATAGTTAAATCACAGGAGACTGAGAACATCTGTTGAGTTTTTTTAAGCTTAGATATAGTCATTGTAAGTTTCCCAACATAGGTAAAGAAATTCAGAAAAGCGTTTCAGAAAAAAAAATCAAGTGTTTGCTTTAAGAAGGTGAGGAAATATTACAAGGTATCAGCAGGAGACGTTACCTTTCTCTGTATTTTTAGTTGGAGAAAAGGTTATTAAAGAGGTACAAAGTAATAACTTATTGACAAAACAATAAGTCTCCTTGGAAAAACAAAATGCCTATGCTATAGACAGGCATGAATACTGATATTGTATTTCCTTACACCGTTCAGCAACTATTAAACAGCAACACCTTTGATATTAAGCTTACAACTATTATATCAAAAAATAAAACTACTTAAGCCTTCTCAAGCACTGGTCGTAATGGTACTAACTGGTACGTACATTGGTACTAATTGGTATGTATACCTATTCAGGGGTGTTTGGTAGCCCTTTCAAAATTATATTCTCAGAAAGATGAGATGTTATAAAGTGTCTTTAGCTATCAGGATCTGTATTTTTTGTACTTCTTTCCAAGATTTTGTACTTTTTTGTACACTTGATTATTTGAATGTATAAATGTATCAAGGATCTACCACATATTCTAAAAAAATAGTAATTGCCCCATTCATTTCACTGTAGTTTTGAGCATCCTGAACGTTTTTTTAGTAAGTCATTAAAGGGTTAAAGACTAAATGTTGTACTTAAAGTATCAATGTGGTAATGAACAAAGTTAGCACGTATTGCTTGTTCATGTATGTGAGTAACTTTCTGTATGTTAAAACACTAGTTGAATGCCCCAACACTTGAAAAACAATCTTTTCCTCTTTAAAAGAGCACAGCAAGTAAAAATACCGTACTACTCATTAAAAAGGATTAAATAAGGATACACCACAGATTACACAGTTTAAAAGCAAGCAAGATTTGCAGCAGGCAAAATAGCTCCTCAGCATGACTATTTTTAAAAGTTAAGTGCTTAATTTAAATACTTTTCCCCTCCAATTTCCTCTATGAATTATTATATTAAACTTATCTGTAATAAGGTTTAAACCAATAGGAATACAGCCTACGGGGCTATTTCTGCCTGCATCTGCTTTAGAACTCACCACATGTTCAACACTTTCTGGCAGCTATATACAAAGAAAATAAGAAAGAAATGAGAATCAGAATGCAATGCAGGGGAAGAATTGTACATATATTTTACGCATACATTTTGGCGGTCAGAACACTATTTTAAATTAACTATCTTGATGTTAGTTTAAAGAAATCATACATGCAAGCACTCCTCTAACAGACACATGCTATTGAGCGCTGTAGTCCAAAATAGCACAAAAAAGTATACCATTTAAATATTTAATGCCAAAATTAAGGATAGCACTGTACTATTTTGTCCCTCACCAGTCGTTATTTGGTTCAGACAAGATTTTTCAAATAACAGATAAACACAGGATCAAAAGAATCTAACATGAAGTACATACTTTGTTTCATCCATGACTTCTACTTGCGCAGGAGTCGTGATGGGTGCATTTGAACAGCCTGCAGTTGGGTCATCTCTGTTCAACTCTCCATTTGTTGAACTTACTACCTATAATCACCAGAAATAAGTGAAATCATGCTAGAGCCAGACTCTGTATTTGTAAATCCCTGAAGTTACAATAGACCTTCAAGACTTATTTTAGTTAATTCCACAACCCCCTGGTTTCCTAGTATACTTTCAACATCTTCACTAGTGGAACAGAGATCTGTGTGAATGACTGTTTAAAGATAACAGACTAAGCAGAGTAATTCTGCTCATCAGGTTTGCTGATTTCTTCTGATTTCTGCTGTTTCTTCTACAGGCCTTAAGGAAAGGCATAAAGCAGGATCAGGGCCTTTTCCTTTCTGATACTAAATTGGGCTGTCTTATCCTATCTCTGCTTCTCTGAAGCACTCAAGCTCCTTTGTGTGGGCTGACTGAGCTTTATCTCAAAGAGCACTCTTCAAGAAAAAAGGTTGCAGATCCAACAGTCTAGGTGTTGTTCTTGGTTCCCAAGATCGCAAGAGCACTACCACAGAAAAAGAGATTATGTTCAATGCCATCAATTTCCTCTCAAGTTCCTTCATAATTCAGGAGTCACCAGAAAAATCCCAGTTCTCAGTGTACATTTGTTTTGACTTTAAACCTAAAGCAACCCATTATTTTCTCTCACTATTCCTATAAATTTTACTCTTACTAATTAGCTTTTAACATAAGAATCTCTTTTTACTTTGGTTTGGTAAAGGTGGAAACAGCAGACATTCTGAACTGAAAAACAAGTTTAAGATGAAAACAGGAATCACATTACGCAATAGAGGTGGCTAATATTATATAAGTAATCAATCATGCAAAGAAGCAGAAAATACCTGTACTGAGCCACCATGTCGGTCAGCTGCTAAGTAAGTTCTTAAGTGATGTGGATTGGTGTGTTGGGAATCCCAAGCTGCCCTATGATCTGTTGACTATCATTGTTGGGATGTGTTAGGCGTATATGAAAAGGAAAAATAAAATCCAGAACATTAAACCATTCACGCATAATCTTTCTAAAGACAACAGAATCTACATGTTCAATTCCTATAAAGGATGCACAATCATCTATCTGTATAAAAGCATACGTTTACAACTCCACTTGTAAACTAGAGAGCTGCAACTCAGATAAAACTAAATCCCTCATAAAAAAATGATCTAAATTCATGTTTTTCTACCATCCTGGTTTAAAAAAGAAAACACACCTGGCAAATCATTGGTTGAAAGACAAAGTAATGCTGCTAGTGTCACATGAGCAATTTACCTGATTTTTGGATTGCTGTATCTTTTCTTTGTGCTGATGTGTTTCGCTGTTTGATGGCAGTGCAGTATCTGCATGAATTGAACCCACTGGAGTAGGCTACAAATATAAACATTATGTAGCAACTGGTAAAAAAATAAGTTTTCTAAGTCTTATAAAAAAAAAACTGCATCAAAATCCAAAATAGTCTAAATATGTCACTAACTTTTACGCAGTTATCTCAAACCATTAAGTTAAAGCAAAACTACAGAAGAAATTTACTAATACCAAAAATATCAAAGCAAATCTTCTTCTCTATTTTCTTTATAATGTAGCATAACTAGGGCAACTTGCTGTTAAATCATAAACTTATTTACTTGCAATAAATTGTTATCCTAAATTGGCATGAATATAAGAGGGTACATATTTAAATTTATCTGTTAGCCCTGTAGTTTTCAAATGAGTCTGTGCTTTATTTAGAAGACTGGACCCAGAACAACTACATAAGGTAACAGTCATGAATATTCTCTTATGTCAATCTGCTGCGAGGTCTCTGCTTATTAGGATCCATTTACAGAACACTCTGGTGGCAGTCTAAGGAAAAAAGATTTAAAGCAAATTTTAATGCTAAACACTGAAAAAACATTAGCATTCAAGTGTCACAATTTTTCCACAGACTGGCACAGGGAACTTCAGGGGAGAATGGTTAATCTGAAATTGTTTAATTTATGCACACAACTACTCTCCTATTCGGTAAAAGACAACTTCCACACTCTAAAAAAAACTTATTTTACTATTTCTTTGAAAAAAACACAGTATTTAATTTTACACTCAGGGTACTGAAAACTGATTTCCTACATTGTATTTCATTGAAGATTATGCTTATAAAAAGTATGCAGTTTCTTCACAATAAACTGATCAATATTTAGCATAAATCTCTGGTGTAGAGAAATGTTTTTAAAAATATAGTAGAAACTCGGATATTACCCAAATAAAAGGAAAAACAGGCAGAGATAACAGTCAATTGCAAATTTTTGAAGTCTTTCTTCAGCTGAAAAAAGTTTTCGTTTCTACTTTTTTTTATAAAAAAAGACAGATAGATGGTATGAGAAGAACATAGACTAAAATTCAAGACTAAGGTACAAAACTGATGAGAAAATCCAGCATCTTAGCACATTAACTGTACTCACCAACTGTTTGCCAATCCAGTCATATTCATAATCAAACATATAGCCCTTGCGATCAAATAAGTCTGTGAAAAGCTTTCGTAAGTAGTCATAGTCTGGCTTTTCAAAAAAATCTAGCCTTCTCACATAGCGTAGATACGTAGCCATTTCCTCTACACAAATAAGAAATGTGCATAGTTGTCATGTGCGTTTCAAGGACTCTCCAAAAATATTATGACATTTTAAAAAAATCTTTCTTCTCCCTCTCACCACAAGAGCAGGTTATTTGTCATGATGCAGTGAGTTATTAGAAGGAAGGAGAGTTTAACAATATTCAAGATGCATTGCCACATTCTAAATATTTTCTAGGAAAATACACTTACGTTTTAAAAAGTGAATCCCTTTAATTTCACCTTTGGTAAAGAACCTGCGTAGCACAGGGTTGGAAACAACTTCAAGAGGACAGCTAATATACCGCTCTCTATCCCACAGAGAATCAGTTATACCTGTCTACTCTGATTTCATACAACGACAGTGAAAAATTGTAGTCTTCCCGGCAGCTCTTGATAATCCCTAAAAGACAGGACTTTAAGTCCAACCTTAGTTGCTTTGGATTAAGTCCATTACTTTGTCTTCTCTGCTGTGGATATTACAAATAGATCCCTTTCATGTTTGTAACACCCAAAAGCTACAATAAACACTCATTTCGTAAGTCTTACTTAGGCTAAAACAATACCTGTCCTTTGGTCTTTGGTAAAACATCTAGCAAATATGACTTATAAGTATTCTCGCTGCTGTTCACAGGAAACCTTTGAACTAGGGCACTTTCTTGAAGCACAGTCCCTAAAATTGGACATGCTGTTTCAGCTGAGGTATTAGAGCGCAAATGGTATTTCATGTTTCTTGCAGGTTAAATCTTGTGCATATAACCCAGCTTGGTGTGTGTGTATGCACAAATATATATATTATTTTTAAATACAGAATAGCACTGTCCCCCATTCACTTTGTGTTTGGCTGGCCTTTAAACCATTACCAAAAGAACCTCACTGTAATCAGTAATTCAATTTGTATTTGATCCTGTTTTCACATTACCTAGAATATATCCTTTTTGTATGTACCATATATTTTTAAAACATAATTTGTCAGGATCCTTTCATTCTAATTCCACTGCCCAAGCTACACATTTGAAGATTATCATTTGCAAGTTTAATAAATATGCAGAGTATTCACTAAAATACTGAGCAGTCCTAATAGATTTCATGTCATGTTTTCAATATGACACTTACCAGTACTTGAACAGCCCAATGGTTTTACAGCCTTTCTCCCAAAGTAGATTCATTTTGATTATACTTCTAAGCTAATTTATGAGAATATTTTGAATGTGCCAGACTAAAGTCTCGTGATGTAGGACATCTCCTCTCTTCTCCACATTACCTGTCTTGCCATAAAACAATCTAATTGCTTTGCCATGAGCTGGCAGTTTGATTTTGCTTATCAATCACCTCCTGATTACCTCTAATGACATTAATTTCTATTCTGATTCCCCACTATCAGCCAGAGCTTTCCAATTCTTCCGTTACTCCAACTTAAAAAACATAACTTTTTTCGACTCTAACACCTTACCAATACTCCCTGAGCTCAAATATTTCAAGCGGTCACTAAAGAGCATGTACTAACTGAAAAGTGGGTCATTTTTAAAAATAAATTTGAAATAAAGGGCAGTTTTAGACTTCAAAAGCTTGCAGAATTTTCTATTTGAATACAATTACAGGCTAGCTAATCACTGTGAGAATATGCAGGTTAGTGTTCCCTTTAGAAGAAATTATCTTTGAGAAAACAGTATTAGTTTATAACTTAAAAGGACAATTCTTATAACCACAGTTAAAATACATAAAATCTGATTTGGAAGGATTGTTTTACTTACAATACAAAATTTTATGAAAGATTATCTATGCCAGTTTTGTTTCTGAGATCAGCATACATTTTAACAGCAGTCATTACCTGGGAAGTTTTCACACAATACTGCTATAGGTGTTGCTCGCTTTGTCTCTCCAATCTTCTGGTAACGTTCTTTTAATGTATCAGCCTAGGACACAAGAACAAAAAAATGCTCTCTGAAGTTACCCAATTTGCAGACAAATTCTACAAAAGAAAAAGATCATGCCAAGAAAAGCTAATGATCTGAAAACAGGAAGGAGGAAAAGATATCAAAAAAATCACTACCTTCAAACCTTGCCACGGAAGGCTTCCTCTGAGAAAATACATAAACATATGACCTAAAGCTTCCAAATCATCTCTTCTACTTTGCTCTGAAACAAAATCCAAATATTATTGGGACAATATAGCTACATAATTTTACATTAACAATATTTGCTTTCAAATTACAAAAATCAACTGAAAGGTAAGAAGTACTTGAAAACAAACCAAACTTTTTTTTTTTTCTTTAATGTGCCATCAAGTACAGATTTAAAACAGAAAATGCAGATGCAGACTGCTGGTATGTTCATCAATAGTATCAAAAAAAAGTTGTAAAAAACTGCTGTGATTTTAAGCTATACTTTGACTTTTTTCACATATCGATTGCATTCCATTATCAAATTCCATGCATTTGTAGGAAATTTGGAACAATTTAAGACAATTCTAACTGAATACACTCTAAAAAATAATAACCCCTTCATAGGGCTTCTAAGTAAGCCAAAAGTCTTCTGAAGACGACCATGGAGTATTATCATTTAATCAAAAAGGAGCATCTATGAGGCATGTACATACTGCCTGTTCTCTGGCATGGTTGACTTAAAGCTAAGTTATGTAAGAAACTGTTTAGCACAAAATTTATTTGTCTGCAGCCATGAAGTGCCAATTATCCAATCAGAATTCAGATTTTGGCTGAAATCCTTCAAATAGTTTACGGCAGTTTTATGAAATTGCAAAGTAACAGAAATGCAACGTACTCAAAGTGTATTCATATTACTTTTAAATAAAATACAATATACTTCAAAATTCTCAATGTAGTAGAGACAATAGTCAAGGTCTTTAAAGGACTTTTTTTTTTTACTTTAAAATAAAAGAGTTTTTAAAATTAACTTTTAAACTTTAAAACTTTTTAAGAAGTTTTAAAGTTTTTGAATTTAAAGCAAAACACAGATTTTACATTATCAACCAGCTGCATTCTGCATTGCTGTAGAAAGAGGAACTAGTGTGTTACATTTGGTACTAGGGGGCATTACTTCCCTCTGACACCTTCCCCAACAGAAGATATAAAAACCAAATATTAACATTCCTTCTATCCAATATTTTCTCGACGATAAAATGACCATGCCTTGACAAGGAAAGCAAAAGAGCACAAAAAAGCAGATGAAAAACTGTTGCGGTTACAGTTTGAAGAAAGTTCAGCAAAGCCAGTCAACCCATCGTTATACTTTGTAAATACGTAGTGAATATTCTGCAGCCAAACAACAATTCTTAACTCAATGAAACGAGAGCAGTTTTATGTCTTTACTTTCTTTAAAAAAAAAAAAAAAGCCCTGTCTTGGTCATATTTGAACACTAGATGAACACACACTAACAAATGATTAAGGAAATATCAGTAAAATGTATTCAGCACGGACTAGAACCCCTCACTCCAACACACACTTGTCAGTCGCATGACATGCTCCTTTTGCTCTTTTGCTCTCGTCATTCAAGTGGGCCTAACCCTGCTGTCATCCCATTTGCCGCTTCATACTCCTTAAGTCCCATGCTGATGCATCCATATACATGAGGACAGGAATAAGTATTAAAGCTCCATGCCTGACGGATTTCAGTAGGTGACTCCAGCTGCCTCACAGAACCCTGTGCTCTTTAGGAGATGAGGTGGACATGGAGATAATCAGCACTTAATGAGCACAGCTCACAACAAGTTTTGTAAAATGCAACATAAATGTGCTTTATGTAAGACAGTTCACTGGCTGCACAGAGATCGTGGCAAAACAAAGTTTGAGAGGTAGAGTTAAATGCTTGTGAGCAGTATTAAAATACAGTCCACAAAAGGATATAGGAAAGCTCTATTTGGTCTTAGGGAAAAATAATTCCTCTCCTCTACATTAACTTCTGCAGATCATGGTGACGAAATGTTACCCTGTTCTCCTGTAAAATGGTTATTTCTGAGCCACTGTTCCTTCACTGAAAGCCCAAAAAAAAAAAAAAAAAAAAAAAAAAAGCTTTAATCCTTATTCTGATGACTTTCAAGTAAGAGTTTGGGTTTTTTTTTTTTCTCTCCATGAACTTTGGAAAGTTTAAGACACTTCTGCAGGAAGATTATTTCTAGGATACATCATTCAAAATTCACAAGATTCTGCCATAGGAAAGCTTCTTTAGTATCTCAGATTTTGTGTGTTACTACTCATAATACATTTAAGAATTCTTTGTTGATCACTGCAATGAACAATAAAACAACAAATATCTTTTCCTCTAGTATGGAACACTCCAGAAACCTTGAGAAACAGAAAGTTCAAAGACTACTACTCTTAAGAGAAAGGCCTCGATGAAAACTGGAAAAGAAGTAGGAGTGAGCCCGCTGATAGACAAAAGGATTTCAAATATCAGATGGAGAAAGAGCTGCTGACGTACATTGATCCTAGTGCATCACAGTTTAATGAGACTTAGAGGATCTGTTAATACGATCATTAGATGGCAAATAGAAATAAGGTTTTAGGGCACACAAAATCCTCTCTTAGGAGAGAGGTTTGAGGCCAGCTAGGGGATAGGGAAACTGATTGACTAACCATTATTTAGCTCACAAACTACAGTCAAATTAATCATCTTAATCAGGGTAGATTGAGCTTAATTAGAATTAGGACCTCATTCGGTAGGCCATCTGCAGAAATTACCTTTTCTTTGTGATAAAGTAATCATAACATAAGCCAAGTAGATGTGTACTGAAGACTGAATGCCCTATTATAAGCACTGTATTTTCCCTTCAAATAAAATATGTTACTGCTTCCTACAGAAATGCTGAAACAACAGAAATTTATTAACTATTTAGTGATCAGAAAGCACAGTATTGGCACTGGGGTGATTAAGTAGCCTGAGACAGAGGCTGTTTACTGTGATCACAGAACTGAGGGATAGTTCTTATCAACACAAGCTGAACTGCAAGTCACCCAGTAATAATGTGAAGTCTTTTCAAAATGGCATGATTCTATGCAATAACATAATAGCACCTCCTTCTGAACAAAATGATTAAATTTAAAACGAAGTTAAATGGTACTTTTACCATAAGCAAAATGGTACTTTATTATAAGAACATATTTCATTCCACATTGTTACATAAGGAAAACATGAATTTTAAGGGAAAATCCTATTTTAACTTGTAGCTTGAGGTGAGCAGAGCAACTTAATAACAAATGTTGAATTTGAATTTTCTTTTCTTAGCTTAGCATCTTGATTTAGTAGGGCATACTGTTTTATACTACTGAGAACTCTCAGAGTTTAAACAGAAAAAAAGACTTTTCACAGAATCACAGAATGGTTGAGGTTGGAAGGGACCTCCTATTCAGCTAACACTTGCACAGAAGTTGACCAAGATCAGAGAACTACAGACTTCACCATTTCAGAGATACTTATCTAAAAAAAGGCATTAAATAGCTATTAAAATTCACTTTAAGCATATTTATTTCACTGTGGAAAGATGGTCCTGATACCTGGTCAATCCATGACTGAAGCTACTCTATTAACTTAAGCATAAAGACAAATTAGTTTCTCAGGAATAAGCAAAACAGTATTTGAATCACTAAAAACTAACAAAATCTCTGGGGAAAAAAAAAAAAAACACAAAAACCACGTAACAACATTCTATAATTTTCAACCCCATTTGCTTACAAGTCACACCTGTTCACAGCTGAATAACACTCAACCCATACTCTTCTTGCCACACCACCAGCTTTGCATTAGCCCCATAAGGGTTACTGCTGTTCTGACCACACTCTTAGGCCTACGACCTAGCCCCCTGAGGCCAGGTGATCCACTGAACTTCAGTGGATCAGAGGAGACTAGCGAACATGTTAGGCTGGAAGATCTTAAGCCTGGAAAAGGACTTTTCCAAGCATCACCACTTCAGAAGCAAGAAAAAGTTGCTAGGGCTCCTGGATGGTCACGTCTGCAAAGGCATAGTCTGTAAGCACAGGAAACATTTCTTCTCAGTTTCATTACGATATAAGCTACTAGTTTTGAGTACAGATGTACACTATGAACAAAAGTATGCTTAGAAACACATTAGAATTGATCCACTGTAGAATTATCTTTGCTGTTCTGGATTTCAGAAAAGCTTAATCTTTAGAAAATTTATTTTAAAATCTAGAAGATAAAACAGTCCTTATAATTGATAGTTTAAGTTCTGATATGTTCCTTGATGAGAACTCCTATTTGTGAGAAATAAGGTTTCATTTGGCCTTTCAGTTAGTGTTACTGGGAAATTATTTCATTCCTAAAAGAGTTTAAAGCACTTATTACAAGACATCTGCCTTCAATAATTATGTGCTTGCAAGAGAAGATCAATATAAACAAAGATGTATACCCCTGTTTCCCCTCAGAGGGCATTAGAGATAGCCTTTCTATAGCACTTACAGCTTCATGTGACTAAGTTTTCTGTAATCGAAGTGTTATTAAACAAACAGAGAAGCCTTTTTTTTTTTTTTTTTTTGAAATTAAGGAAACATCAGAAACCAGTAAAATCCCAGAACAATTTTAAATATTCATATTTTCAGAAAACATAAAAAATTCTAGCATTTTTACCGACATGGATTTCTTTTTTTAAAACTTCTTTAGTTAGAACACGATTTCTGGGATTTCCTTCTCCCTTCTTGTAAGGGGGGACAGGAAAATACGCATGAAATAATTTTATGCCCAAGGGAGATTACCTGATGTGTGCAAGGGAACCAATCAGTTACATGCTGATAAGGGTTATGGAATATCTGTCCCCTGCAAACAAACAGCTATCTAAATAAAGTCCTGTTTGTTGCTAAGTATTTGCTATGATACTTGCAAATGCTCTGGATCTTCAAATACAATACTGAAGAAAGGAAAACATTCTCATATAACATTCACATAAACAACATATATAACAATGTAGATCAAGTTAGGGTTTAATAAAGGTGTGTTTTAGATCACCTATAAAAGAATTTCAATCTGATAATTTAGTCAAACTGGATTGAGGCCAGCTGACACCTTAGGGTGTCAAGAAGTCATAATACTAGCTAGCTTTGCTATAAAGCTGTTCAGGTAGCTAAACGAATTACCTTCAGGCTGAAAATACTGCCCTGAAGTTTCAGTACCAGATTTTCAGACCTATACTGCTCAGCACAGAGAAATATCAGAAGAGAGCATTCAGCATTCTCTGTCCTGCTACTGTAAATAAAACTTTTAATTTTTAAGCAGGCAGCACAGAACATACACAGACCAAACTTCACACACAGCCTAAAGAGTCTATAAAAACAAGAGCCTCTTTTACATTATTCAGTGTGCGTTACAGGCCCAGGAGATATGACTAACAGTTCTCCCTCATCCATGAAATGCCTGAAATATACTTAGAAGAAGAGGTGTGGCTGTTTGAACTGGAGCACCCCAAAGTTCCACACTCATTCACTGCTTTGAGTAGACTCACTTTTTTCTGCTTATATTTAAAAATTACCCATGTCTTTGAGATGGAGACATGTTATAATGAAATGACACTTATTGCTAAAAAACATTAGTTACAGCTACCTGGCCAGAGGTGTCAGTATATATCTACCTACATTCTCAGTTTTGTATGGCTGAGAGGTATAGATGTATCCATGACACAATAATTAAGTTTGGCAGAATATTCAGACTGTTTTAATGGTTGAGGTACCATTAAATGGAAAACAAACATATTCAACCAGCAATCAAGACTCTGCCTAAGCAGTCAAAAATACTTTCTCTGAGGCTGGGGGGAAGTGTCTTTACTAGGTTCTCATTGCAATATTAAACATCTAGCCTTTCAAAGCCCAGTTGTGCTCCAACTACTTATCAGTTTTAAGCTTTGATTTATTTTCTTAAATGATACATGGGAAGGTGCAAAGTATTTTATTTGAGAAGGACTAAAGCATGTTTGACTTTAAAAGTGATTGTGTTATCCTACATTTTGTTAGCATAAAAACACTTTATTTAATCTTAGAGTTATCTGTCTTTAATACAGCATAAACACAGTGCAATCTTTGAAATCTTTACTTGGTATAAGAACAATAGGATCTAGCAGATATGAAATACTTAAAATAGCTAAATTACTATTTTTTCACATATTTGTATTATACTTGTATATAAGTGTATTAAGGTGTGTGTTCCATATTTGAACAGTTCTTGGATGGTGAGTGGATTAGAAGAATCTTCATTACATCTAAAAATTAGAAAAATACCTGTTTTAATTGAGAAATAGCTTCTGATCAGGAAGTTCAAAGCCCTCTTAGACAATGCTGAAGTCTAGTAGTGATAAATTTGTCATCATTGCGCTTACAACCAGAAAATATTGTAGCAGTCTGTAAAGATTGCCGAAGCATTAAAATACGCTTCTCTATTTCAAACACTAAACTAAATGCTGAAATAAAGTTATTACACTTCCCGTGTGGCTAAAAGGCCAAAAAAACGTAGCTAGGCCAGTCCTCAGAAGCAATTTCAAAATCTTTGCAGAGATAGGTCAAATAAAAAAATTCAATTTTTCTTTTTTTTTTAATGAACTGAACATGATAACGAAAATTATAAGGAATTTAAGATTAAAGAATACTAGATCAGCGGGGTAATAAATAATCCTTTAAACCATCTGACAAATTTCTGACTTGAAAGACTGAGCATTCACAACCAAATGCACAAGAAAAACATAAAACTTTTTCTGCTTTGCATCTATTAGAGAATTAGTGGCCCAATAATGGAATCTATTTTTGCTGCAAACACTTTTGTAGTGAGGAAAGGAACTTGAGCGGTCAAGATGCTATGGTCAGTGTACACACTGATCTTGTGTGACCACAACTGAAATACAAACCTAATACTTTTCAATTCCAAGATGCTTTCTGAGCCCAAAAGAGTACTTCAATCACAAAATAGTGAGGCTAATAACATCTGGTATAAGGAATGATTCCACACCCGCCTTCACAAACGGCTAGAGATCTGAAAGCAAATATTGCAATCAGCTCTGCAAGTACTCTGCTATTAAACTGAGAATTACGTAACTGTTACCTAAACCCTACATAAACTAATTCACTTGCATTGATTCAAACATAAGCAATAAAAAACTCCAAATTCTTAAACTTTTACGACTATACTCAAACACAAAGAATAAACTTAGAATGAATACTAATGAGCAATCTTTAAAACCACAAACTAACATGGCAATTTGCACCTTCATTATGCTTACTGCATTTCCAAACACTACACACACTAATAACTTTCAGTATTCATCCTATTTTATAGTGTTTGTGATTAAATAGCACCTGTTTTCATATGTGGATTCCATGACAGTCTGTCTTAAGGATTTTCATCCTCTGAAATATGTCAGTTTTCCACTCAGTTCTTCACTTAGATGCAGAGCTTTAAATTTAATTATCTGAAAGTCAAAAGTTGTGAATCACTGAAGCCTTGCTAGTCCTCAACTTTTATTCGCACCAACCATCTTCTGCATATGGCGCTTATTTAAGGATGCTTCCAGCACTAATTCTGATCATCAGAAAATGAAGTTTGGAAGATGGATGACAAAGCTCCCCAAAACCACAATGCCTCAATTTGTATGCCAGAGGAAAATATTTCGCACTGATCTCATTGTATCGGCTTAACTACAATAACTTGATACACTGAGTAGCTTCTGCTTATGTGCCTTACTCTAAGAAAAGCAGACTGGATAACTTTTTCACGGATGTTTCATTATGTATGAACCAATTTAGAATGCTGAAAAGCTATATTTTATAATGCTCCTAGAGTCAAGGATCCCAGGTGCTTATCACAATACTCAGTTATACTCTATGTATATACTGTTTTTGACAAGCAATATTGTGTGAATTATGCGAATTCCTAATGTGTAAGTACCAGTAATTACATGAGTGTTTCAACCATTCAGTAAAACTTTCAAATATATTTTAATTTAATATGCACTATAGAAGCAACTCCAAAAAAAAAGGAAAAAAAGATAATCAGAAAATTTAAATTTCCCACCTTTAAAAGGGGAAGCAACTTACTAACATTTTATCTTGCAACTTCTCCTTTGAATGCATGTTTAAGGAATTTAACCAGCCCTTGAAGATACTTCCAAGAGGCAGGATAAGATTTTTAAAGCAACTTCAAACTACCTCTACAAAACAGTTATCAAATAAGGGAAATGAAGTTATTTATTAAATAGCAGCTTTTTCTACTTCTCTAAAAACCTATGTTAGCATGCAATAAGTTACTTCAATGCAGATGAAGAACACTATGCAATTATAGCTCTTACCAGACTTAGTTAGGTGGCCTTTCAGCAATTGTCTGATTCAGTGATTTGCGACCATATATTCCTAATTACCTGGGGATACATACAGCTAATCTTACATTTGGACATCTAACATTGGCATACATGATCCTGCCTCTTTCTCCCTACTTAATGCAGATATTTGAGGCTGCTTTGGAAATCCATAGGGAGAGAACCAGCCTAATTCACAATGAAGTCTGGTCTGCATACCAAAACTGGTTTTCACATAATAAAAGTGAAACACTTCAGCTTTATTTAGAAAAAAACAAACGTGCCAAAGGATGCAGAGATGAAAGTGAAGCGATAATAAAATTTAAATTAAAACAAGGAAGTAATTTATGGCCATATAGAATCAACACCCTTTGGAAAAGTGAACAGAAAAACCTCATCTTTTCATCATCAAGGTACCTACCTGAAGTCTTTTCTCTATTTTGAACATCTGCATTTTTTGTTTATTTTTGAAGAGCTCTGCATTCTTTAACTTGGTAGGAGATACTACAAATTTTCCAAGTTAACTGTACTAAAGTGCTATTGAAGAGCATGTTATAAATATGACTCTACACTTGTCATGAAAAGCTGAACATTAATTGTATATATTTATCTCTATATTTGTGTAGAAAAGGCATATTTGAAGACAGCATAAGCATTTGTGGAAGTGAAGGACAGTTCTTTCATTCACATTTACTGAGCAACTGAAGTGGAAAACAGAAGCAATTTCTGTCCTCCTGTCACAAAAGTATAAATTTTGAAATAAAAGAATAAGGAGAAATGGGAATATGAGTCCAAATTAAGTATAAAAAATGCGCCTTTAAACAAGGTACCTTAAAAAAAATCAAGGTTGAACATGTGTACATGATTAGTCTCTTAACGGAATCAGTCACAAAAAAATACATGAACATGTATTTTTGAAACATGTTAATGTCTTCAGCTACAGCAGCTAACTACTAAAGGTACAACTATTTGATTTTATTGATAAAATCTCTTATCATTATTAGGAATATTTGCCATATTAACAAGAAGTACTTTTGAAGTATAAGCACTGTGCAACATTATCACTGATTCAAACAGCATTCTATTTAGTGACTGTCACAGTGATTCTTTTTTTTTTTTTTTTTTTTTAAACTAGGGTTATTTCTAATGTGAAGATTTTATAACAAAAATATATCTTATCTTTCTTCTACATTCATCTAACAAAAATATTGCAGTTACTTGCTGAGATATGCCCATGATGATCAGAAACCCAAAATACCTTAATCCCATAAATGTTATTTTAATAAGGCTGAACTATAATTTTACGAAGTACAGGAAACTTCAGTTCTTAATGACTACAGACTGTTGACAAAAATTACAACTTGAAAACAAGATGATATCACACAAATAATGACAGCTGTTGAATTCTTGTTTCTGCACTTAAAAAGTACACGTACCTTTTCCTAAATGTGTATTTATACTCATGTATCTAGCTGTTCCTGTAAGGCTCTTGTGTTCTCGATATGGTATGTGCTTCTTTGTTTCTGGATCTATATACTCCTTTGCCAAACCAAAATCTATAATATGAATAATTTGCTGGGTTTTGTTTCCAGGTCGTCCTATTAAGAAGTTCTCGGGCTTTACATCTCTGTAAATCAAGTTCTTTGAATGGACATATTCCATACGAGAAATCTTTAATAAAAGGAAAAAATGACAAAAAGTTTAGTTTAAGCTTCAGACTGCTACAAGAAATTGTGGTAGAAGCTAAATATTTCTATATTAGTTTTATATTTAGAGGGTATTACCCTCTCAACCTTAATCTAAAGGGTAATTGCTCTTAACATGGTAGATCCCAGTTAAAGAAAACAGCACACAGGCCTTGAGCAGTTACACGCACGCACACACACACACACACACACAGTGCACAGAAAACTATTCACATTTGAAGTCAAACATGAATCACTATACAACATAAGTTACAAAATCCGACCTTCTTTGAGAACTAGCAATAATAGTTTCTTGTGTACATTAAAACTAGAACCAGATGCCATCAAGACATAAGCGGCAAGGCTCCAGGTAGATCTATTACGCATTAGAGATGTCAAACTAAAGAAGTATTAGGAAGTCATCAATATTCATGCAACTTCCTTTTTAGGTGGATCTCTATCAGTGTTTACTTATTTGGGCATTAATAGTTATTAATGATGACTTCAAATCTGTGATGATTCAAGGTGTAAAAACAAAGTGTTTATAAATGCTGTAAAATAAGGTTTATGTTAGTTTCAGACCTGTTATCCAAATAAAGTGTTTTAAATGAATAACATTTTTACTCTTCATTAGAAAAAACTGTCCCACTGTTTCAAGAAGAGGAGGCTCTGAGTATTTAATATTTTAGAATGACCTATTAAAATAATGCACAAAATTAAGCTTTGTCTCTCCCCACTCAAGTGAAAAGAATACAACAAAAGAAGGAAAAAATGTTAATTTGTACTCTTAGCTTTTTTTTTCTTTTTCAATCTGAGAACCTCCAGGAAAAAAAAAAAGTTAAAAAATGCATCATTCAACTGCTTTATGGATTAAAAATACACGTATTTCAAGAAGATTTTGCTTTACTAAATGTCACTAGAATTCATGATTTCAGGCTGTGCTTGTGAGAACTCAGGAGACAATGATACTATTTTCACACAACAATTCTGAAAAAACTAGAACAAAATGTAAGGAAAGCAATGTAAAGTCTTCCAGTTAAAACAGCTGAAAATGTCTACCACAGGCTCTTTAGAAGACTGAAATACCACTAATACCAATTTTAAACATGAAAAAATACAAATCTTCATTAAGTCAATGTGCATTTTAAAAATAGATCCAGTATTCTAACACTCAAATTAACATGCATAGCTGTATTTTACTTACCAACTGTATGGCTATCATAAGAACTGTTTTAAGAGAAAAAGTCCTATCACATAAATCAAATAAGTTTTCCAAACTAGGTCCAAGTAGTTCTAGCACCATGGCATTATATTTGCCACATGGGCCAAAATAGTAGACCTGAGGTATTCCATCTGTAGAAGGAAGACAAAATATAAAGGGTTTAGATTAATGAACATAAATTACCTGTTTCAAAATTAAAACACTTTACTGACCTTAAAAACAAAACAAAACAAACAAAAAAACACAATAGATTAACGAATCCTCAAACACTGGTAAATTAAGGAGTATTGATTTTTATTTATGCAGAGCAGAAAGAAAAATATTTAGAAAATATTTTACACACATCACTAAAAACAAAAATGCTGTTGACAAGCAGTTACAGTCATCACTTTTTAGCAATATTATTTTTTCAAATGCAAGTATTTTCTGCGTAAATTTGCAAGGGAAGGCCTTTCCAGTCTTCTCCATTACTACTTCTTTCTGCTTATACAGCAAATAAAAATATTTTTCCTAAATCTGAATTAGTTTATTAAAAAAATCAATAAACACCAGAGTTGAACTTTAACAAAAAATCTAGATTTCTAATAGACTGCAATGTGAACCGAGAGCAATTTATTCAAAGCACAGAAAGGATAGATATTTAAATATTAAGAACAGACGTCACGAGATTTCAGAAGTCTTACAAGGAACCTATTATGAAGAAAATGCACTTTGAATCCACTTCTGAAGTATCGCACCAGAAACTCATCTTGAATTTTTTTCAAAATTGAGTCCATGCTGTCCAGACAACACAAGAGTTTCAAATACTACCATTATGTCATTTAAATGGTCTAAGATGAAAGCTTATATTAACAAATACAAATTAAGTTTTAGGTTTTGTATTTATGACTTTATAACTTCTACCATACAGTCATGCCAAAGGTTTCAGAACTCCAAAATTAAAGACTCACAGCCTTTTCACATATATGCGTTATACCATTGCATAATTAAAAATAATCTGATACCATCAACTCCATCCTGTACATACTTTCTCATATGCTCAGGACCTTTTCCTCTCTCAGCAGATGGACCAGTTGCTGTTCATTAATAAAAAGCTTGCTCTTCAGTAGATTTCCTCAATGCCTTCCTTACTGTAGCTATTCAAACCTGGTTCCAAAAACATCTTTCCTCCCATATTGCCTTTTCTGTGGCATATATTATTACAAAACAGTTTTAAAAGTAACTACAGAATTTTTTTCAGAGTAGCTCAACCTGTCTATTGTATTTCTCTCGGGGTCAAGTTGACGTTTAAATTTTTAAAAAATCTTCAATTTTCAGGGTTTTCTTTGAGGAGCATCAGGCCTTATTATTTTCATATCTTATTACAGCACTATTTACATTCAAAGTATGGATATGTAACTGTGTCCATTTCACCCCAAGTAAAAATACTTACTGTTCAACAAACATAAAAGCAAGAGAAAGCAGCATTTCATAATTACTTTTTCATCTTTTCCTACAGGTGATAATTAAAACCTTTCCATTAGACCCCCTAACAATTAGCTAGCTTAACTCTTTCAATTGCTAAAGTCTAGGGCTTGTTTAGCTTAAAATATACAATCATATCTATATCAATATATTTAACGTACATAATTATACCCATTCCAGAAAGACTTGCACATGAATAGCTTATTCCTGCACAGGATTGCTACAGACTACATCAGAACATCATATTATTCCTGTTTTTTTTTTCTTAAAAAATATTCTCAATCAGAATATAGTGCTGCGGGCAAGATATACCATAATCATAAAATTCAAATCTCTGCTCTGCTGAGATTTGCTGCTCTGTCTCTGCTTTCTAATATGGGGAGCATACTCATAAATTCAGATTAATGTGCAGCAGTGATTTAAGTTATGCAACAGACAAGCACAAATGAGTCCAAAACCAATAGCTGGAGGGTAGATATAAAAAAGGGAGAAAGACTACAAGACTACTTGTAGTAGTACAGAGATACATTCTGAGAATCTCTAACTCTTATATCCAGATGTTTAAACCCATCTCACTCAAAAATATTTTCTAAAAGGTCACCTCCCCTACTATCATTGTCTCTGCTCTGTATCTGTTTATAATACTTTGAAATATTAGAAATACTTCAAAAATATAGAAGTCAGAAGACTTTGAGCCTTTCTTTAGATTTATTTCCACATGCTAGTTATCTGTAGGAACAAATTTATTTTCCTATTGGACAAAAATTCTAAAATGTTCAATATATTTGTTTACTAATTTCTAAGAGGTAAAAACGGAATTTTACTCCCAAAATTCCTTTGTTCGTAAATGTCAAAGATTAGTGTCTACAGAGCCATTGTACTGTCTACTCTTTTATATGGGTCTGAATCATGGGTCATCTACCGTCACCACCTGTGACTCCTCAAACGCTTCCATCAGCGCTGCCTCCATACAATCCTAAACATCCACTGGACAGATTACATGACTAATGTGACTGTCCTTGAACAGGCAGGGTTCACCACTATTGAGGCCATGCTGCTGAGAACACAGCTGCACTGGGCAGGGCACGTCTCCAGGGTGGAACATCACCGCTTCCCTAAGGCTGTGCTCTATGGTGAACTCACTACTGGCTGCCGCAAGAGAGGAGCCCCAAGAGGAGATACAAGGACTCCCTGAAACACTACCTCAGCTTTGGCCGTATTGACTACTATCAATGGTCCACTCTTGCCTCCAATCAGGAGACATGGAGATGCGCCATCCATAACACTGCTGCTTCCTTTGAGAAGGCACACAGAATCAGTCTCAAAGACAAAAGACAACGCAGAAAGAACCGGGCCTCACCAATACTGCCTAAGGAGACCTTCCGCTGTGCCTTTTGCAACTGCGTTTGCCTTTCCCGCGTAGGTCTTTTTAGCCATCAGCGCGCTTGCCGCAAACATGGGTAAAGCCCTTTCCATATATTCGTTCGCAAGGCCTAACCATGATGATGGTCAACAATTCAAAATTCCTCTCCCAAAAGTTTGTCCTGTTTTTGCTTAAAGACTTTAACCTTTGATTTGCATCAGTTTTGCATGTCTCTACTTTCCCAGGACAACAGTAAATAGTAACATGTTAGTAATTAAGTGTTTTCACAATAGAGTTTTACATGTAAGATCTTACATAAAACTTCATGAAAGGTAGGGTAGGTTAAAAAAAGCTGTCAACCTAGACAGCCTTTGAACTTAAACACACTTTAATGGCTTACAGTTAAATTCTGAAGACTCATTAGGATCTATTTACGTGAAAAACAATAAATTACATAAGAGAAAAAGGCAACTGCCAAAACACAGAAGATGTAGGCAAGTTGTGAAAGGGTAATTTAATGTCTTCTCTTTATGCTTAATGGATCAAAAGCTCCAGTTTTTGATGGTCCTGCACATAACCTAAAACTCACTGTTTGAATAGAAAATAGTCATAATCAAAATCTATTAATCCTTTTCCTGCAGTTTTTTATTAAAACTTTAACTGTTAGCTAGTCCCTTCAAACGTCATTTACAGCAAGACTTAAAATACTATTATTCACTATATAAAATATTACAGCATTTGAAGCATATTTTATATGAAATACTATCTGTACAACTTTACATAATAAACATTAATGCTATATAACACCCCAGATCAACAAACTATAATGTATTTAATATTTTTGATATACCATCTATATATAATATACAAATTGTGATAATCTGTGATATACTATATTAGATGTAGTATATCAATTTATGATACAAAGCTCGCTTTGTATAGTCTTATTTTTGAGTAAATCAAAAAAGTTAATTTAGCAGTATATTTCTGCTTTGTGTTATGTACTTTGTTCTTTTTTGAACTAGTAGTCTGACATTTGAAGTAGGTAGTCTTATATTACTTCCCCTTTTGTAACTTTTGTTGACAAGAAAGGTATGGTTGAAGAATATTAAACATGACTAAAAAGAAAGTCAGAAAACACAGTTTGCATAAGATGCATTTACTGAATGTACTAGCCTTTTAGGAAAAAAGCTGAAAATTACTACAAGACTTTTTTCCTCCCATTAGAAGAGATCTAAAATCTAAGTTATTTAAATACTGAAAATAAATTTACATCAAATGAATCTCTATTATATGTAAAGATCCACTATTCATCTGTCATATATTCAGAACATTCATAGTACTATAGCAAACCGCCTGTTTACAGCTATCTCCTTCAATTTATACAAAAATACAGCATTTTTATTGGAAGCTATCCAATAAATATATTTTTTGTATGCTCTCAGGCTTCTTACAGTCACCTGTTTCCAACAATTTCTTACAACTACCTGTTTCCAAAATGATTTAAACATGTGCATCTATCAATCTAATTTAAATTTATACCACTGTCATTCTTACCAAATCGCTTATCCTTAAGTGTGTTTGTTAGCAATAGCACCCCTGCAGTGCAGTGTGCAGGTGCTCACAATGGCTCAAATTTACATTCTTTGGAATGTAAATACTGGCATAGTCACAATTAATGTTGATATAATCAACAGTTCAGCCTTGCTATTAATAAAGCAGTGGAATTTAAAATAGACCCATTTTTTCCCCCCAAATGATTGATTACAGAACCATACCAGTCTCTGTGTACACAACACAATACAGATGAACAAAACCACAGAATCCCAGAATGGTTGAGGTTGGAAGGGACCTCTAGGGATCATCTAGTCCAACCCCCTGCTCCAGCAGGGACACCTAGAGCACGTGGCACAGGGTGGCATCCAGGCAGATCTCCAGAGAAGGAGACTCCACAACCTCTCCGGGCAGCCTGTGCCAGGGCTCTGTCACCCTCACAGGAAAGAGGTTCTTCCACGAATTCAGGTGAAACTTCTCACACTGCAGCAGCTGACCACTGCCTCTTGTCCTGTTGCTGGCCAACACTGAAAAGAGTCTGGCCCCATCCTCCTGACACCCTCCCTTAAGATATTTATTTATACACATTGAAAAGATGTGCCTCAGCTTTCTTTCAAGAAATTCATGCATTTTAGGTGGTGCTAACATTAAAGTATTGATTATCATTTTAAAATCCAACCAGTCTGTATATATTAATGCAGACATCACATAAATAATGAATATACATAAAGGCATACATTCTATTCTTAGTTCAAGAGCAGACTCTCTGATAATATCCTAACAACATTGCTTAAACAGTCCAAGTAAGGTACTCAAGTTCACTTTAAATTTATACTGATCGTTAGCACAACATGAAGGCAAATTATGAAGTGAGAAAACCAAAAGACACAGAAACATCAAAACTGTATTTTCACATGAGGTGAAGTTTTCCAGAGACAGACAAAAACTCTGGAAAAGCATACAATACTTAGTGCTTGTTTCACATTATTCATAGCCTTTTAAGACACAGCTCTCTTCTGCAGTACACAACTGGCTATCTTCTACCTATACTGACAAAGCACTATCTTCTGGTTGCCCTTTAAGAAATGGGTTTTAGCACCAGAAGGGAAGTGCTAATTAAACTTCATCTGAAAAGACAGAAGAAAAATAAAGTACGGACAATATTGAGTATTTGCCTTTTCTGAAATGTTAATATAAAAGAACTAGGGTAATTCATAGCTAAACAGATCTTTGTTTCTTCCACAAAAGACCTCCACTGAAAACCTGACACAAATACCTCTTGGTGCTATAAACCATGCAACCATGGTACCCAATCCATTCTAGCACATCAACAATTTCACAGACACAAGCTCTACTAGGGCAGGATCATCATCATCAGTAGTAACCATTCATTTGTTTTGCTTCTCAGACAGGTAAGTACAATAGAGTTCATTTACTTGTAGATATTTCCAAGCCATCAAAATCAATGGCCCTCAGACATACTATTAAGAGATAATAGAAAATTCAGATTATAACAGCTGAATAATTTTTATATTGTTAACCCTAACACCTCAAAATGTAGGTGGATTCCTTACTGCAATAAGAAACTGAGGCACACAGTAAGTTCACACCTGTCAAAGAAATACGTCTTATGTTTTCAAATATTTTGCTTTTACATTCATTTTTAAGGTTTAGATTTTTTAAAAAAATCTCATCTTTACTACTTAATCCTTAAATTGACTCAGTAGTTCCCCCTCCTCTTTACCAGTCTCTCCAGTAGGAAAGCACACTGAATTTACTTGCAGTTAAATTAGCATAGCACTTGATCGCAACTTAAAAACCTAACTTCCTGATTATGAAGAGAAAGATTTACAATGTAAAAAAAAAAAAAAAAAAAGAGAGAGAAACTACAAAAATGTTATTGCCCCATTTCCCCAAAAGGGGAATACAGCTGAGCCATATATGAGGTGGTAGTAAGCTAATACCCAAAATTAGGTTCCTAGATCAGCTGGTCACCAAGTAGCTTATACTGAACCCAGAACATCTGGCTCTAGAATAGGTTTCTTGAGCAGAAGAGATTTTGGGATCTTATATATCAGGGAAAGGAAGATTTCACCTTTATCATTTAATCGCACTATAATTCTTAGCAGCACACCTACAAAAAAAGTTAGCTTGCCTGCACATACACTACCATAACCACTTTGATTTTAACCTTTCCCCCAACACTGTCACTGCTGAGACTATACTAGCCGAAAATATACTTTCTGGCATCACTCACCTATAACAGCAAAAGGTGTTTGCTGGGTCACTTCGCAAGGATAATTAGCAATTTGGTAATTTATGATGTTTACTAAAACGGAAACAACACCTAAATTGTAAGACTACTTAGTATAAGGCATAACCATAGAATTTTGTAAAACTTACTATTTTTAAAATAGTCTAATGATGTAACAGACACACCTTACAGAATAAAAGTATTTTACCAATAGAAAATTCAGATTAATCCACTCAATCAAGATCTTTTTTTACTGCTGAAAATATCTATGGACACTTAAAAACTTGTATGCTATATCAGCAATGTGAAAATCAATACTGGTTTACATTACAGAATACTGCATATAACACATGCATAAAAACTTATGCATTTTTTTTTTTTACCTTCAGATCCTAGTTGCTTGTAGAATCTGTATTCCAAATGCAGCTGCGGTGCTCTTGACTTCGTTGGCTCCTGATTTAAAAACAAAAACATTTAAAACAGAGCCTGTCGGCTGCTACTCTGAAGACCAATACTTTCTGTACCAGTCATGCTAACCCCTGTGGCTTCTGAACCTCCGAAAAGAAACTGAGTAGTCCTTCTACAATGACTAGTAATTAGGCTGCTGAGAAACCTAAACCCCAGGCAGATAAAACTAAAGTGTACGGGAGCTTTTACATCCTGTGCTGCTCAGGGTCATTTTTTCAAGGTCCACCTTGGAAACCCAAATGCAGAACCCACCCATAATAAATTTCTTCTACCTGTGAGCTAACCTCTCCAATGCATGTGGTTGATAACACATCCTGTAGCCTTCAAAAGAAAGCATCAGAATACAGTTACACAAATGAAAAAGACTATCCACACCCCTGGTACATTTGCTAAGTGCATCTTCAGCAACAGGACTGTGACACAAAATACCAAATCCTTCCAAATAGTCACAGCCCCACGATAGTTAAGTAGCACAATTCCAAACTGTATGTATGACACCTAAAAAATGTCAAAGTAAATTTGCAGTTTAAATCTTTCTATGCCTAAATGATAAGTGTATGAAATTTTAGTTCTGTGTCTGACATGCAAATAGGACTCTGTCTCAGAAAAAGGCCACATCATAACAGAAGACCTTATTCATACATGAGAAAAAAGGCAACAAACCTACACTCCAAGTATTTCAAATTATCTTTGTAAATAGTACTTTATCATAAAACCCTCCTAGAGCATCTTTTTGAAGTCATGCTTGGCTTCATGATATCTTACATCTTACCATGCATAAATGGTAATTTGAACATTACCTGCTTACTAACTTTCTTGCACAGACTGCAACTAAACTGTAGCTTTTAATAGGTAAGATTACTAAACTATTTATCCATGCAAGCAGAGGACATACTGCTAAAGGGAAATTTCCAGGCAGTGTTTAGGAAATATTCTTATTTTCTTTCTCAGACCTTCTTCTCCAAAAGATAAGAGTTTTTAGCCTATATTATATTCTGCAGTGGTATATCCAAGGCCATAGAAGCTAAAACATCAGTCATGATGTTTTGCTACTTCTCCATCCTAGTCCAGCTAAGTTCAGGTGTTGCTACTTTTGCTAGTGCCAAACTCCTTGTCAAAGTCCAGCTGTATATTTGATTTTGGCAGGGTATCAGAAACTAGAAGAAGCAGCAAAACTAGACATAAAGTTTCCACAAAAAGGGAGCAGAAATTAATGCAAACATATGCTTTCCGAAGTCCAGAGTATATATCCTAGCTGAATAGTTAAAGTTCTTTGCAAAGACCTGAGCAAGAACTTTCTAAAACAAGAGGACCTGTTTGCTGTTTAAGCAACACTAGCTGCCCACCAGTCCTAAAAAGCCTTGAAAAAACACATTCTGAAGTACATGTAGCAAACAATAGTTTAAAAGAAAGACTTGGAAAGAGCAGAATTATGCTATGTCACATTAACACTTGAGTTATGCACATTTTTAAGAAAACATTTTACTAATTTCAAGTAGAAAACACTTTTTTTCAATGAGAATAGCAAGTAGCAATGTTGACACATGAAACACTAAATTTGAGTATAGATGTTGGAAAGCAGACATTCTACAAGATTTCAGGAGGATTCTTCTGTAGTCATTTGTTGTTTGATGTTCAATTTTGCACTCGTCCACTTGCTGACAGAAAGGAAGCTACCAGGTAAGATTGCTGAGGGTATCCTTGAAGAAGCAATCAATCATTATTGACTTTATAAATATAAATTTACTTCTGATAGCAGTGACAACATTTAGCACTGGCTTTATTCAATATGTACAAGTCATATAGTTATTTCTACCAGTAAGTATTTTTATCTAATCAGCTGAAAACTGATAAGACTAAAAATTTCAATGACAGAAATCAAACTATTATATACGACAGTGAGTCTGGTGAGTTTTTTTTCACCCTGCTTCTTAACAAAAAGAATATTAACTTACCAGCTTAATTGCCACATACTCATTTGTGTATAAATTTTTTCCTTAAGAAAAAAAAAGCAAGAATGTGAGACTCTGGCAGTGACAGTTTATAAAAGCAAATAACTTTTGAGGGATGTATTGTGCTAAGAATCTCTTCCATATAAAACAGACTTATAACCAATTTCTTCAGCCATTACTTGTCAAAGAACTTATGGGAAAGTATTAATTAGGCCTGTGTCTGTGACTAGTTCAGCTAACAATTTATTTGTGCTTTAACTCACTAAAGTAACACATGACCTTTGCAAGTAAAGCATGAATAGCAGTTTAGTCAGATTAAGAGAAATTGAAGATCTGTTTTGTGATTTACTGGAAAAAAAATCTTAACTGCTGAAAAAATATAAAAACATGCTCAATGCTTAGATTAATTTTTAATATATAATTTCATGTTTTAATACAGTTCACAATCAAACACAGGAATGAGCTACTGTAAATTTGTAAGACTCAAGATGCAGTAATAATTTAGTAAGTTTTCTGAGTATTTTTAATATTAGCTATATGACAGGAGGCCTTCAGAATCAACATCTCCTGAAAATGCTTTAACTAGAACACAGAACCATGTCATTAGAATACAGAAGTTCAGTGAAGCCAATCTCCATCAGAAGTACAACTACTATGCATCCTTGAATAAAACAAATACTCTTATTTCAAACTAGAGTCAAGGTTTCTGGTTAGACATTAAACAATAACTGTATACACATTCTAAGCTTTTTTTCAACTTAAGACTAGAGATGAATATACAGGCACCACTGTGACAAAAAAAAAACACAGTTTTGTGATATATTTCAACAAGTTAACATCAATAAGTTAAGAGCTTGCATACCTCCTCTTCATAGGAGAGAATATTTATTACATACGCAAAAAAGCAGCAGAGGTTGAAAGTAAAAAGAAAAAAAGCTGCAGTCTTGGGTTGTCGGAATGGCAGTACGCTGTCTTTCACCTTTTATATTAGTGTCTCACCTAACGAAACACGTATTCTAGGATTTGATTGCTACCAGTAAATGAGATTACCTGTTTTGGATTAATACCAGATTAACAGTGGTGTATGTCATGAGCAAGCCAAGATACAATCCCTAGAAATGTTAACAGTTGTCTGTAGTATTAAATGGATATATTAATCAGACCTGTATGGTTTAGCTCATGTAGAGCTTTAAACAAAAAACAACATGCAAGGTCAATTTAAGAAAACTAAAGAGCTGAAGACAGAATTCCTGACTAACTTGTAAACTGCACACAAAAACATGTGCAAACGCATATATCTAACACTTCAAGAGTCAAAATGGATCGTTCTTGTTCTGTTGTTACAAGTAATTAGAGCGTATCCTAAGAAACTAGTTAACATACAGTGTCAGTAAGTAAAGAGCAAGAGAGAACACCTTTCTTTTCACAGCAGCAATACGCTGAGTTTGTTTACACTTCTGACGCACACCAGATATATAACGGCCCCAGGAAGAGCAACCTTAGAGTTATGTTATATTGTCTTCCTTCAGGACAATGAGAAGTTGCTCTACAAAGTGGGGAGGGAAAACAACAACAATACACACACAGAAACAAAACAGAAACAATAACTACATGTACACAGCCCACCATACTCAAATATCCTACTTTTAAACAGGTTTCTCTCAATCTTGAAACAGAGCAGTAATTCAAACCTCCCAGGAATACTGGAATAAATTCGTGTCATTCAGTGTTCAGCTATATTTGCTAAGGCATGCAGAATTCCCCAATCTAACAGCTTTGTCTAATCCTGCTGCTGTCATGGAAATTAAGTCCCGCCAAAATAAAATATCTGAGAAACACACACACAAGATTTTGTATACTATCTTAACAGTAAGAGAGACATCCAGAAATTCTTCAAAACTGCCCAGGTCCTCCTCACTCTTTGTCCCTTCTCCAAAGCTTTCTGCAGATGAATCCCTGTTGCCTGATCAGTCAGTCATTCCTTGTTCAGTCCTGCCATACTGGTGTTGATGGCCAAGGAAATGCCAAACTTGCCTGCTGCAGTTCTGCCAGCCTGTTGCAGACACAGTGCACACTGCTGTTCCCCAGCTATTCCTAGGAATACAGTATTTGGGCTAGAAGTATGGAGGAAGGATATTTTACAACATGTGAAGAAGAAAAGAAGTAGGAGAAGGATGTTTAGCCCAAAAGGATCACAGTAATTTTAGAAGATCAAGAGAGACAGAAAAATACAGTTAAAAAAAAAAAAAAACAAGTACACACACAAAGGCATTTCCAGTCTCTCAGAAACTGACTAAATTCAGCAGAACAGCTAGGTAGAAAGTACTATTAGTTCTAAAAAGTCTCCTGCTATATACATACACACAAACATATGACAGAGCTGTAACAGTCTTTCCACAGACATTTTTATTTTCAGTCTACATGCATGCTTTGAATAATGTAAACCAAAACACAGATCTTACCTAATCGTAGTTCTCCAAAATTACCACATCCAATTTTTTTGCCAACTCTAAAATTAGGTCCAACCATTAACACTCCAGAATGTGAAGAACCAGATCCCCGTGGATTGTGGCCTGACCTCCCACTAGGTCGTGCCATTCTTTCATCTGGTTTGTCTTTGTCTCTGTTTTTACTCTCCATATCAAGTTTACTGTACTCCACTTTGATTTCTTCTTTTTAAATCAGTAAAAGCAAACTCAAATTCGGCAATGTGAAAACACAACATCACTAAAAGTGTCCAGCTGGTTTCTGTCAGTTAGTAGTCAACAACAGCATATTCATCCCATTTGCAAAATATTTCTTCCTTGATCGTTTCTGTATTAAACCTCCAGAATGTATCCTACCAGCAGGATTTACTAGTGTTTACAGGAACTCTGTAAATAAAAGACAAAGTTACTCAATACAGCATGATTCTTTAGAGTACTATCTCTCTTCAATTAAAGTTATACAATTAAAATACAACTAATGATATTTACTTAATAGGTCCTCCATGAATGACCCTACTGTAAGGTTAAACTCTCTCATTATAGCACATAATTATAGCACATAACTGTAAAAGAAACTAGCGTAGCTTTTCAGTGAGCTTAAAAAAAAAAAAAAAAAAAAAAAGCAAAATAAGTTTCATGGCAGCATTTACTTTGGGAAGAAGCACTTTCTGATCCAGTGAACACACTTGGCATTGAGGTTAAAACACTGTAGCTTATGCCAGATTTGTGAGAGAAAGTATTTTACACTTATTTTTTCCTCCAAGTATTTAATTTCTATTTTTTTCAAAGTAGTATCTGTTTATCTACTAAAGAAAATACTTAAACAACACTGAATGATATTCAAACTTAAAATGTTTTCATTATCTTAATTGCTACTTCTGGGAAATGTGATATATTATTTCAACGGCAAGGACACTGCACATCTTTCCAAAACTCCCAAATTTGAAAATACAACCTATTTACATATCATAACAATTCTGCCTTCCCCTAGTTCCCTCAATTCATATATTTGTTCCTCCTCCTCAATTTCATTGCCTTGACACTCCTTCCAACAAGGTCTTCAGTAAGAACATAAGTGTTACCTTACTGCTAAAATAAACAATCAAAAGTAAGCTTTTGTTTTTATCTGGCCATAATCAGAATAATAGCTATCATCTTCTGTTTAACAACACTGATTAAAAAAAAAAAAAAACACTAATGAAGTCATCGATATTTCCCTAGAACACAGCAACACCTTTCAAGGAGAGTTAAATATTCAATACATTTTGCTATATTCACTTAAGCCTAGCTTACTTTAAATGTGGGAATATAAGGTAGTCAAAGAAAACATGCTCTAGAAAGAGTTAACTTTGTTTCAAAATGTTATTTATATAGCCAAAAGTCCATCATCAGAAGCTTTTTCTTAAACCTAACTCTCCATGATAAAAAATTTATTTCATACCTTATTACAACATTTTGAAAAGTTAAAGAACAGGTAGAGAAAAGAAAGCAAAAGGATATGAAAGACCACCCTACAAGTTGCACCTACTCAATCACAGATTATTCATGACAGGGTCTTAAGACTACAATAGCTGAAAACCACTAATCAATGGCTGACTACCAGCTTAATTATGAATCACATAGAAGTTTATTTCTCAGATAAACACAATCACACCAATGTCAAAGGGAAGGAAATGAAAGACTTGCTCTGACACCAAGGGAAAAAGTAAATGGAGGCCAAACAACTTTTCAATGCAAGCAAAAAGTACTGAACAGTGGTACAACACAGACAGAAGCGTTTAAGAGGGAAAAAAAACACTAGCACAGCAGTGTTAGCACAGCACTAGTACAACATACTCTTACAAGGTCAAGCACCATAGGCTATCCTAAAGCCACTTTTGAAAGCACAGATCTCAGAGAAATAGACTCAATAGGAAGTGACAGGTAATCTCCCTCACCCACTGTGCTACTCAAGTTAAGGAAGAATAAGAAATTAGAAATGGAATGCACTGAGTATAGGATTGCAAAGGCACCATCTAGTACTGAGAAAGATCAGCACATGTGAAGCAGTAGACATGTATAACAAATGAATTAAGTACCAAAGAAAAAGTCTTTACACTCCAAGTCTCACTTTCTCCAGTGAGAAATATCAAGGTAAACAGCTCTAGACTTCAAAGAGCTAGCATACAACCTTCAGAACAAATAAATGCTATGCATAGTACTGCCAGCACCAAAAGATAAAAGCCATCACAGCTGATGCCTTGCTAATCTCAGTAGCAGAGGGAAGGCTCAACTTCCTGGCAGTATGCTGCACATACCAACATATTAATATTGCAAAGAGCAGGGAGAGCTTTTGGCACAGTGAAAAGTCAGGGAAGCACCTATCGACAGGTCTCAGAACAGAACACGAGAAGTGGGCATGTAAACAAATCTGAAGGGATTAAAATCTGATTTCAGACTAAATAGGGCTCCTAGCTAACTACTGCAAAAGCCTTGTTAACATATACAATATGTAATTATATGTTATTTAAAATTAATCTCTAACGCATCAAAATTTCACTTCAGAAAGTCAAAATAATTCTAAAGTTGTTGTTCTTCAGATCTTCCATTTTGCCTTTGCCTGCTTAAGTATCACCTGGGCATAGCATGCAGTCTTGCCAATAGAGCAAAAAAAAACTTTCCTGTAACAGGCACGATCAGAGTGATGAAAAGTAAGTGATGATGTGTCAGAAGCATGGAATAACAAACAGCCAGACAAGGACACAACGGTGATAAAGAAAGCAGCCGTGAGCCAAAAAAGTCTATCATCACTGAAAAAGCTCCCTATCTCAAGCTGTTTCAGCTCATGTAACACCAAAACAGCACCGAGCAACCAAGCTGTGAGCTCAAGGACAAATGAGTGTTTGCATCGTGCACACTAGCTGCTCTGTTCGTACGCTTGTCCAGATGAAGCTTATTAAGTAGTTTCCAAGATGCTGAAGCTTTACCAGTGAGAAATGAATTTGACAAAGTAATCATGTTAATCCGTCTATAATTCAAGGAAGAACTTTAATTTGGGAAGTCCAAATCACAGCTAAGTCTATCCCACACACAACCAACCACTAACAATGCCAAGAATTAGTCCTAGCTTCTGACTTTCAGTCATGAAGGCTTTCAGGGAGCCATAAGAAAGATTATAGTCTACAAAGTATCACCCACATAAGACACTCCTGTCCATATCTGCTGTCTCCAAAAAAGTGTTTCTGAAGCTCAGAGGATGGAGAGAGAAAAATGATGGCATATTTTCATGAAAACTGTTTTGAAAACAGGAGTGTTCTGCCCTTATTTGAAAAGTTGATCTAGAAAACTCTTCTTTGAAGCAGCCTAACATGTTCCCCCAGACCTCCAAACTCTAAAGTGCAAGTGGAGGTACTGTCTTCTGCCTTCCCTGCCGCATGCAGTTATAAGCCCCAAAGGAAAAAATGCAAGATTTGTTCATGTTGAAGAGCCTCCTGCAACTCTAGCAGGTGCAGACATATATCCTCCCTACAAATGAGGCCTCCTGTTGTCAGAGGTTTAACATCAAAGGACAGCGAGAAATCTGACAGTCTTGTTCTTAGTAGACTCTGTAGAAACCCAAGCACCATACTACAGGACCCAGTCCAACCATAGAGGGAAGACAAAAGCTTGAAGGTAAGAGCGAAATATGTCACCAGAATTAGGAGAAAGTGAAAAAGTCCAGGAAGAAAGGGGCATAAAAAACAGAGCTCAGAGGGAACAGAAAGAAGACTGCCACTCCTGTTTGCTTGCCATCTCAAACCCTCATCTCAAAACTGCAGATGACTAATACAGTGGGAGGACAAACAAGGTTCTGTATCTATAACAGACAATGGTCTGCAATGAGACTCAGAGCCCCAAATTTCATTTTTCTTCCACAGTTCTGGAATATATATGAAGAGCCCTGGATGAATTATAGAAGACAATGAAACACTTGGCACAGAACATGGTAACCTCCTACTGCCATCTGTTACAGATCACACTAGCTTTATTTTTCTTTTCAGATGGAGCTCCCTGTAAGGCAATTGAACTACCACACATACTAAAGTGAAGATCCAGAGACCTTTGTAAATGGCACAGACTAAAGAAACCATAAAGAACAGCACACAGACTATACCTCCAGGGACAAAGTAGTTCCTAGGAACCAGAAAAGACAGCACAGGATTGTCAAAAAGCTGCCAAGAAGCAGTCACTCACCTGCACCGGGAAACAGTGGGTAAAGGCTGCCATGCATAAGCATCCCTACTTTCGTTCTATTTTTCCTAGATTTAGTCCCTGCTTAAGTCAGCTTTAATTTGAATAACATTCCCAAGCTTTTATTTTAAAAGTCTTTCAATCTTCTGTGTAAAGTTTACTATAACAAAATTAAGTATAAATGCCATGAAGTACCATCTGTCTAGGGGGCCTGCCATATCACTTATCCCCATTAAAAATAACATACTTATACTATGTATACAGCTCTCCAAATACCGGTATCTTAGCTATAGATAGGAAGTTACTATTCTGCTTTTCTTTATCCCTTATTATACAACCTCAAGTGTATTTTAAGATATCTTGTATATAACTCCATAAAGAAGCATCACATGAATAACTAAGGATTTCTTCTTTTAAGCATTCATTCATAGCCTTAAGGCTAAAGCAGAACCAGAAAGAAAAAATGCAACTTTAATGTTTTGTTCACTGCACATGCCAAAAGCCAACTCCATTTCTGTTAATGCATGTCTAGTGCACAGCACAATGTAAAAACATCCTGAGAACAGATTACACCAAACAGAAGCATTTAAATTGAGAACGGCAATATACTATTCTGAAAATACATAAATAAAACTAAATATTTTATGAAGTTTCTGATCTGCGTAAATTCTGTGTAAACCTGTGTAAATTCTGTGTAAATTTTTATGTCTGCCAGTTTTTGAAGTTGATTTTATCTTATGCCGTACTCTGAATCAGTTAAACATGCCTTCAGATGGTATGCCATGCTAGTTTTATATTCAGGAGTTCTATTTATAAATGCATTAGCGTAAGATTTGCACTTAAGCATGTGAGATAAGCATGTGGTATATTTATAATTTGTAAACAGTATTAAATTATCAGAGGTGGAGGCTTATAATAAGGTTACTCTTTATTTACAAAAACATTTTATCAGCATACTTGAACGAAGTTTTTCACAAATATAACAGTCTAATATTTTAGACGTTACCTAATAGAGATACTATTAACTGC